ATCGAAACGCTCAAGATTGAATTTCGCATTTTGGTCTATTGTTTATGTGTATATTGTCACTTGTTTTTCAATGTCATACATGTTCGTTATATTAGGTGTAGTAAAAAGAAATCCATTATTTTTGCATGAAATTGAATGGAAAAATAATGGATTTCTTTTTACTACACCTAATATATATTTTGAAATTATAAAGATATTAAGATATAATATAAAATATTTATTAAATTTGATATTATTAATATCAAAGCTTATGAGCCATAAATGTGCTTTTATCTGAGAGTTACTACTTTTCGAATTACTTATTTAAGGAATGTAATATTCAATAAAGTAGATATGACAGTGTAGCTCTTCTCTTATTTTTTTCTTTTAAAAAAATCGAAAAAAGAGATATAATACAAAACTATAAAAATTATATTATTATATTATGCTTTTGTCTTTATGTTAGTAGTGATGTATACAAAGACTTTTCTATATTGTTATTTTTCGAATGTTAAATGTTGTTCGGATATAGTTTATATAAACTTTTGTTTCTTTCATTGAAACTATTGTATTAACATCTCAATGCAATTGATTCTTATCAATCGTTTATTAATCTCAATTCGATGTCGTAAATGATGATTTTTTTACAGCGCAATTTCTTTTATTGAACTTATTTAACGTGTATTTGTAATTACAGATCTATTAATATGTAACTTTGGAAATATCAAGAGATTTCAATTACAGTCAATAATTATCAAATTATATGTAATTATAATTGATAATTTAATTTTTTAAATTAATGTGTATATTAATGTATGCATACATGGATAACTTAGGTCATCTGTGCTCATTAAAAAACAAAATTCCGATTGATATTTATTTAATCTTTAAAAGGAAAATAAATTTATATAGTATAATAACATTTGTATAAAATAAAAATTATAAAACACATATTTCGTAAAAAATAAAAATTATAATACAATATATATACATATTTGTAAATTAGAATTATATAATATTTTTACTTAATTTCTCATAATATCAAATGAATTCTTCAGTTCTCTAAATTTGCAATACTAACAATAAAATACTTGAGAAACAAAATACTATTTATGTAGTTTTATTTTTGATTGCTAAATATACTTTGGAAAATATTTCGGGATGTATAAGTGCGAAAATTAAAAAAAACAACAAAATAATTTTATTTCTTTTTTTTAATCTTTAATTATATTTTTAATTTTTAATTTTAATTATTTTTTAATTTAAAGGAAACTATCCGGAAACGAAACTTTTGCGCGTTAGGAATCAGGAACAGGAATTGTAATGTACCTACATAAAATCTTGCTCTTCGTAATTCTTGTTATCATGCATGAATGCTATCCGAAGAAAGATGCAAATATGGATATAAAACAGATGAGTTTTCGTGATGGTCGCATCTGAATCTGCCACTTGAATGTCTATAATATGCACTAGCGAGCAAAGATTGGCCTGAAGCAAGATTATATGCGGAATTGCGCGACGCATGTCCGATCAGATAGTCGTCTATACCACTTATGCGGAGTTTAAGTGATGCTTTGCTGAGAATAAAATGCACGTGTACGATACCAATCGTATTGATTGTTTGCTTTACTTTTTTTGCGACTTTAAATCACAAGCTACTATTTGTTTTGATTATTTATCTTCGCATTTAATTTATTTAACTACATCATGCAAATTAAGTTTTCAAATGAATTATTATTAATTAATGTAATTCCGTTATCAAAACGGAATATTATAAAATATATTTAAAGTTCGACTCTTTATTTCTAAAAATTAAAAATTCTTTTAAATAACTCAAGTGAAGCTGATTAAATATAAATTGAATAAATGAATATATTTATTGTTATCTGTTTAATATGTTTATTATGTTTATTATATAAAATGTTTTATGTCCTCTGTTAGGAGTTTGATGATGATACGTTCATTATAAAAATGTTTGTGTAAAGTAGAATTATTTATGTGAATTTTAATAGGATAATAATTTAATTAATGGCTTCATGATAAGACCATCATATTCTTTGTGTCAATGCACTTCGCGTTATAATCGCTATTTTTAATTTGCCTAATCTGCAGCATTTTACAATCTTTTGATAAGTATTTGTATTGTATTAGTTGTATTTGCATTTCGTGATGAGACGAGATAATAAGCGGTCATGCGAAAGCGAGAGTGAAGCGTTAGTCTGAATAAAATATTCAGAGATGTTTGTTCCAGCAAACAGTTATGAGAAGTATACTAAGAGGATGAGTAGCGAAGAAAAACAGAGCGAGAACTATTTATACGACATGTCCGCGAATCGATTTCTTTACGAAAAAACATACATATAATAATCGATATAATGCCGAATAATTGAGATGCCATATACATCATTCATTAAATAAAAAAGTTTTTTCAGTTCGTATAATGTCAATTTTCATGCAAATCGTACGATTAACAGTTCAATCAATAAAACTTTTCATATTATTTAATATGTGCTTGACAATTAATGCATTAAGTTTTCTGTAGTTAATTAATTCGTTGCCTGATTAAATTAATTGAGATGTACCATAAAACATTGTAAACGCCAAAATTATGAAAATGCGTTTTATTATATGAAGAAATTGTAAGTGCTCTATTACATAAATATAATAATTTCATATATTAATATTTAACCTAGAAAGTTGCAACAAGCAGACAAAAATGAATAATGCAACTTAAAATGTTATACGACTATTGTGCAATTGACATTTTTACTTGAACTTTTTATTTTTACTTGGGCTCACAATAATTTGCAGCTTTAACAACTTGTAACACTTTTTAAAAATTAGAATTATTTAATTAAAAATTCCTACAAAAACTGGTTGTTCATATTTTTAGATGGTAGAATTGCATAAGACAAATCTCTAATATATAATGCATTATTCTTAATTTTTTTTTTATACACGCACAATTTATTTTCTTATATTTTAGTGTCAAAAATGAAATAATAAATAACTAAAATTTTTTCGACTCTATACACATAATAATATATCAAATAAAAAAAATTCTCAATATCATACATCTTACCAATCTATACAAACATTCTCAATATCATACATCTTACCAATCTATACAAAAGACAGTATAAGAAAAATTAATTTGATGTATATTGTATATGGAAAAAATTTCATGACTTCTGTTTTAACAAAATAATTTGATAGAAATGGAACAGAAATAGAGCTCCTCAATATTAATGAAATCAAGGGAAACACATGATTTATTTGATAATTTAAATTCTATTCATACATCCATTTGTGTATCATTTACTCTGCATTAATATTCATTTATACACAATATACAAGTGATATATATATATATATATATAGCCCAAGTGTATTGTTCTACCACATGGCACGTTGCACTCCAGCCATTTTATTATAATCGACTAGATGACGAAAAATGAATCGTGATATTCTCCATCGTTGTATTGTACCTCGGCCTCGAGATGTCACAATACATCTCGGTGTCAATTGTCTCAAAGCGGTCTGTCTAGGAATTGTTTCATCTATTTGTTTGCCAGCGAGTTCCTAAAAAAATTATGTGATTTGAGTTGTCTCACTACATATCATATTACTACATTATTATACTAAAAGATATTTTTGCTCTCTTATTTGAAAAATGACAATTAAAAAAATATAATTTTCAAAGTTTTCTATATGAAAAAGATATAATATGCTTCATTCAAATAGCAGAGAATTACATAAACAGATAAGTTGTATATAAAAATGCATTGACGACAAGCAGTATGATACAAGAAAATTTTTACGTCATCAATTTTTAATATTCCCTGAATGTGTAATTAGAACAAGATTTATTATTTTACAAGTGAAATCTTCTTACTTTTATCTCGATTGGCAAAATATCGTTACGCTTCAAGGCAACCAATCGCAATCTTTCCTCTGCATACTCTTTAGCCCATCTTCTACGTTTTTGGTCGCGCAATACCCTGCAGCCGACATAGTTTCGTACTTCTTGTAGCTACAGATTAACCATAATATAATTAGACATGAAAATGACTTATGTTAATTGATTTCAAATATAATAGCTGAATAACCTGTGACTTAATCAGTTATTTATTTTAATAAATGACATAAATCACAATAAATTACAGATATATAATTAGAGGTTATAAAAAATTTATCGTTCAAACACATACTTACACCGTATCCCAATAAATTTGTAGCGCACAACAGAGGGCTGCGATTGAAAAGTGGAAGGATACACATCATCATCGCCATATCTACAGCTATTTGTTGCTGTTTATTTCTCTAATCTCTCTCACGTGACGAGTAGAATCCCTAGAAATAAAGATGCCTTCTCTCATTGCTTTTATAGGTCTCTCTCTGACCAATCAAAGCAAAGTTTACTAAACTTGAGGTTGGTTTTCATGATTGATTAAATTTCATTCCATCTCTAGTCTGGTACAACTTTATACGGGCTATGTAAATGCGCCCTTAAGCTCGTTCTACAATTGTGTACGTGGATTGTAAGAATTAACCAATCACAGTTGAATATTCTCCTATTTGGCAATGATTGGTGAATTTTTTATAATTACAACTACTTACAACTACATTTATGCAATTGTAGAACAGATTTTAGGTGCACACAGATAAAGAGTGACTTTCTGACTCCTTCATTTTCATGGACCACGTCAAGTCAAACATCCACGAACATTCTTAACGTGAATAATTGTCCTTATCTGCGCCTAATAAAATCCCGAGACATCTTTATCTGTATCTTTGACATAGGTCAGTTGAAGGACTGATTACTCGCGGATATTATGAGGACAATATATCTTTTAGCCATTATCTCTGTTCTCGGTAAGTGTTAAGTTTAGTTCCAGATAAACTTCTCAAAACTTTGGAGCTTGCTCTGCTCCTTATCACAACCGCGTTATCAGTATGCTCTTGTTCTTTGTTCAAAATTAAAAAGTATCTCTCCGCCACATTATCGTTCCTGATATTTGACGATAAAATTATTTACAGTAATACTCCATGAAGTCGAAAGCGGATTATATGGTTCCAAACATTACAAGACGAATCAGAAATTGACAGAATTAGCAGCCAAGAATCAATCACAACCGCTTTCAGGTCGGAAAATGATTGTATCAGCCTGGGGTATTATCGGATTAATTGTAGGCGCTATCATATTCAGTACGATAACTTATTACATCTTTCTATTGTATCCATATATATGCAAAAAGGATGCAAACTATGATATCATAGAATTAGCAGATGTTAATTCTGTGTCTACTGTTAGTGACAATGTTAATGTTAACAATGTATCACGTCCATTGAGAGCATTTTGCGATTCAAATGATGTATCAAATGACATATCAAATGATGCACCATTAAAACGATAGACCTGAAAAGAAAACATAATTTAGATCTGTATTCATAGTTGATTCTTATACTTAAGACTGTCTGAAGTATAGTCTTAAGACAGTTTTGAAATAAGAATGGATTATGAATACCAGCCACAGACATTTATTTTACAAGTACAGTTACATCTTCACTCAGAGTAATAGTATTTTTATACGAGTTTAAAGCAATTAAGTCTTATATAACTTAACACTGCCATGAAATCTTTTTTAGAGTAAAAAAATATTAAGATTGAGATCATTGTGTTTTCATACTATGCAATAATGGAATGAATTTTTATGAATTTTATAAGCAATAGATATGGAAATAATTTTTATTGTATTTATGTACCAGTTATATGAAAAAAGACTGAACTTATAAATTAAAAATTATCTTGTGACATGTTAAAAATGGAGATATGTTAAGTGTCTAAAAATTTCTAACTAAAAATTTAGAAATTTTTTTCAATATAATTGTTTATATAAGTAGAAATAGTATACATATGGCATTTTGCTTGTGATTGAGACTCTGAAAGACTGCAAGAAGTATATTCGTTTTTTTATTAGACGATATTAATGTAGCATATACTCATATTCAATCAGGTTTTATATTTAAGGCTTCCTTAAATTTATCTTTAGATACTCTATTTCATTGGCTATTGAGCATCTAAAGATAAATTTAAGGAAGCCTTAAGTACACAAGGTCTGACTATGAATATGGACAATAGTGTCCCTATTTAGTAATGAGATTGACTTTTTTCCTCGTATTAACAATTCTCCAGTCTATTACTAGTGACCATGTTTGATTTTAATCTTTTTTCAATTGTAACTGGCATGTCCAGTATCAACTTGAAGTGTTAAGATATAAATTATGTTGTCCTTAATCAAATTTGAATCGCACAGTGATTTGTCATCTTTTTTGTGAAACTCAGTTAATTGTACAATAATGCTATGGAAACGTACGAAAAGTTTAACAACTTTTTTTTTATCATCCTTTTTATATGAAATACTACAACATTTGGAAAGCTTCTAAGCTAAGATTTTCTTTGATGTAGCATTTAGTTTCATTCATATAACAAAAGATACATATCATTATGCGATTCCATTTTCGTTATAAGCAACTTGAACATCTTAAAAATAGTTTTAAACTATTACTCCAGGCTGAAACATCACAGAGCTATGCTAATTGACCTTGGAGGCAAAGGATTAGAGTCAAACATGATCAATGGTAATAAGCTACAGAATTGATAACATAAAAAAATCAGTCTCTACTTAACTGTGTTTATATTAACAGATCACAATAGACTGATTTTTATAATCTCCAAATTTGATCCCGTTATAGGGAAAAAGCAATTAATAGCTTTGCTGAAAAGTTTTTTCTTGTGCTATCAGTATGTATAAAGTTTACAAACTCTACTTGTACTCATAAAAATGACCTCTGTAGAAATAATATACTTGTAAATGTATGATATATATTTATTACAAATAGGACTTTTTTTACACAAACTATGTGTATCTTAAACAACCTACTTTTACAAAAGTAAGCAGGCTAATAAATGCATCATGATACACGGAGCGAGTACTTCAAACTGTTCTACCTTTTTCCTATCAAAACACATGGAGAACAATGCAAACAATATGAATTACATGCGTACGTTTTATGACGAGGATCTAAACTTTGCTTCTCTTAAATGCAACACAAAAAACCGTATAAAATTGGCTTTTGGATGGAAGAATTACTTAAACGCGTTTTTTTTTATAAAACTAGACA